GTGTCTGGTTGGGGAGGATCTGCCCAGGTGAAATTTCTATTTCGGTTTGGTGTCACTGGATTGTTCTTGTACCATTCCATAGACTCCAGTAACTGCAGCTGTCTATTCCAGAGAGAGCACTGGGGATACCTTTTGGGGGGTCCCAGCCCCAACTTGGAGAGATTGTAGAGGAGCGGGCAGCAGAGTGAGGTTACCTGTGCATTTGGTGTGTGTAGCTTGCAGGGGGTCCATTCTGTACACTTTTGAACCTGTGCCTGACATTTCCCCAAAAGCACTTTCCTGGCCATTGGGTTTGCAGTGCCACAATGGCACTGGTTCCACTGGGCACATTGCACTGGTTCTGCTGGGCTTGCAAAAATGCCCCCCACCTTTAGTTTCTACTGCAAAGGTTCTTGGGGACTTTGATTCTGTTCTGCCAGACTTCTATAGCCCTTGCCTTTTTTGCTGTTCCCCCCCCTCCATTTCAAACAATGGAGGATGGGGGCACCTTCCCTGTGGGGGGGGGGCATAACTCGGATCCTGTAAATCCAATCCTCACCAAATTTGGAGGGCAGGTAGAGGAGAGTCAGCTGGAGATCTCATGCGAGTTTGGTGTCTCTAGCATGCTGGGGGGGTGTTCCATGACATCATGAATTTCATGAACTAAACCAGTTTGTCTAGCATCAAAATGTTCATGACGGTCTGTGGTTTACAAACCAGGCACACCACAAACCACAAACTGAAGCACATTTTCCTAGTTCATGCCCATCCCTAGAGCTCTCAACCCCATGTCCTGTTCACCAGTCAGATGTGAACTGCAGGTTCTCCCTAATTCCCTCATGGTTGTGCCCAGTTTGGCTCACAAATGTGGCACATGTGGATAAGGAGCTTCAGCTCCCCCCACACTATTTTCTTGACCTCAAACAGTCCAGGAGGGGTGCTATTTGGCCCTTTGATGAAGGGGGGAAGGTTGAAGTCATATCTGACTGTTACATAGTACACAGGGTAGGGACCCCCAGACCCAAACTGTATAGTCTGCAGTGTGTAAATCAACCATGTTTAACAATGAAGACCTATCTCTGCCATGTCTTGTTTGGTCCTTAGTCATGTGCCTGCACAGTGACATCTTTCCTGAGCTTTGGTGAATGCATACCCCCAGGTATGTATGCAGGTTTCCTTACTGCTCTAGAGTTACAACTATACTGCATCCAGGGCCGGCCCAAGGGGTTTGTGCGCCCTAGGCGACGACGCCTCGTGGCGCCCCCCTCAGATGCCAACCTCCCGATGGGGCCTGGAGACCTCCCAGCTGGCGGGGGGGGGAGAGTTAAACAAAAAACATATTTTATTTTTCTCATGTGCCATAGTGTTGATCCATTTTCAAAGGTGAAACCAAAAAATGGCAGTTTAGCAAAAAGCCCCCAAATGTTTATTGATAAACAGTTTCTAGAAGTTGCAGTTGTACTAGGCAAGCATTTCATTAAACTCTAATAAACTTACAACAAAGCCACTGAGTCACCATAAACCAGGCCCGAGTCTAACACATGCTCAGGGTGGCGTACAACAATTAAAAATACAATAAAACATGGATGCCTAAATGCAATATTATAAAATTCACATAACAGTGTACATACAAAGTGCAGTTAAGTGCAGATGGCAATTGCTGTATGGTGGTCCAATGTAGCTGAGCCAGTATCCTTAGTAGTTCTTAATGCCATTAACGTGAAGGCCATAGCAATTCGGTTTTTAATAGTTCATTTGTGGCGGCTCCTAATCGAAGGCCTGGTGGAAGAGCTCCATTTTACAGGCCCTGCGGAACTGTAAGAGGTCCCTGATGTCTTCTGGGAGCTCATTCCACCAGTATGGAGCCACCACTGAAAAGGCCTTAGCTCTGGTAGAGGCCAATTTGGCTTCTTTCAGACCAGGGAGAGTCAGATGGTTCTGCAACCCTGACCTGAGTGCTCTCTGGGGAACATATGGGGAAAGGCGGTCCCTCAGGTAGGCAGGCCCCCGACCATATAAGGCTTTAAAGGTCAGAACTAGCACCGGTATGCTATTGGCAGCCAGTGCAATGCCTTCAGCACAGGCCGGATGTGCTCTCGTATAGAGAGACCCATCAACAGCCTGGCAGCTGCATTTTGCACCAGCTGCAACTTCTGGATTTGGGACAAGGGCAGCCCCTTGTAGAGAGCATTGCAGTAGTCCAATCTTGAGGCGACCATAGCATGGATCACCATTGCCAGGTCATTGTGTTCGAGGAAGGGAACCAACTGCCTGATCAGCCAAAGATGGTAAAAGGCTGCCTTGGCAGTGGCTGCTACCTGGGCCTCCATTTTTAAGGTGGCATCCAGGAGCATTCCCAAACTCATGACCCTCGGTGCTGGCACCAACGGCGCCCCATCAAAGGTCGGTAGTGGGATCCCTACCCCCGACCCACTCTGACTCAGGCACAGGACCTCCATCTTTGTTGGATTCAATTTCAATTGGCTCAGTCTAAGCCAGTCCATCACGTCCTGAAGCACCCAGTCCAGGTCATCTGGGGTAGAGTCGGACTGACCGCCCAACAACAGATATAGCTGGGTGTCATCTGCGTATTGGTGACACCTCAGCCTGTGCCTCAAGGCAATCTGGGCAAGGGGGCGCATGTAGATGTTAAATGGCATTGGGGATAGCACTGTCCCTTGAGGAACCCTGCAAATCAGCGGGTGCCTCTGGGACATCTGATCCCCTAATGCCACCCTTTGTCCCTGACCTTGGAGAAAGGAGACAAGCCATTGCAACGCAAGCCCCTGAATCCCAGTGTCAGTGAGGCGGTGGATCAGTAATTGATAGTCAAATGTGTTGAATGCCGCCGACAGGTCCAACAGCAACAGTACCACCATGCCGCCCCGATCCAGATGCCTCTGGAGGGCATCTGTGAGGGTGACCAGTGCCATCTCCATCCCATGGCCTAGGCAGAAGCTGGACTGGAAGGAGTCTAGCATGGAAGTGTCACCATCTAGCCTAGGCCTTGCTGGGGGGACAGTTATACATTATGGTCTTCACACAAAGGTAATTTAAAGTGCTGTCTCATGCTCGTGCTCCATGTGTTGAGTAGGAACAGTTAAAACCTTCAATAACACAGAGCATCTGCTTTCCACTGCTATGTAACCTTGGATGTGGCAGAGGCTGTGTGCATTTGTTCTATACAGTTGGAGAATGGTAAAAAGGATGCACATTTTAAGTAGTAAAAATTCCACAGGAATTGCCACTATGGGGACAAAACATTTATATAATTGTAGTAGATAGTATGTGTATGTGCATTGTACGTAAGATTGTAAACTCTAGCAGGTGAGACAGAAAGTTATTGTTAAAAGATTATCTTGACCTATAAACCTGAGTGCTCTGTATTGATTCAGAGTTTCATTATCATAGAGGAAGCTCTTTGCCTTGTAAACTTCCTTACTTTCAAGCAAGATAATATATTTGGGTTTCTATTGCTCTCTCAACTTGATCAATTATATGTGTGGAATGTGTTGCTCAGTGTTGGTACCACTGTTCCCTCTAAGCTGAGTTAGTGTGAGCTAGCTCACAGTTCTTTAGCCTCCGGCTCACACATTTTTGTCTCCGCTCAGGAAGGAGGGCTCCAGAGCAAACTAATGTATGCAGTAGCCAAATCGCTTGCTCACAACTTTAATGCTAGTAGCTCACAAAGTAGAATTTTTGCTCACAAGACTCTACATCTTAGAGGGAACATTGGTTGGTACCAGTGTTGGTTAAAAGGGAACACAGATTATCTAAGAGCATTTCCTTCTGGATAACTCTAAGAGCATTTCTGTCTCAGGATAAATTAAAATGTTTTGGGTATACCTCTTGCCAGAAGGTTAATATGCCTAGTGTGAGAATTCTGACTGGAAGCTCAGGTCTATTATGCCTCCACACCCACATCATGTCCAACAAGAGTCATCCAGGACAATGAGCATTGCCTGGGCATCAGCACAGCTATCTGTTGCACTGAAGAGGCAAGTTATACAGCTCAGTTATCCAAACAGTGGGAAAGTGACGACCCTCTCAGGAAGTGGAGGGGACAGCAGCCACCAGCCAGGAGCACAGCTAGAAGGGAGGGCCAGCCCCAGGGGGAGAGTGTATGCTTGTGCAACAACAGCCAGGCCAGGCGGGCCAGGTAGGCCAAGGCAGGAAGGTCAACAGAGTGCCCATACAAAAGGCAGCCCTCAGTGGAGGGGTCAGCAGCCACCAGCCAGGAGCACAGCTAGAAGGGGGGGCCAGCCCCAGGGGGAGAGTGTATGGCTGTGCAAACAGTAAACACCAGCCCAGCTAGGTAGGCCAAGGCAGGAAGGCCAGCAGAGCGCCCATACAAAAGGCAGCCCTCAGTGGAGGGGACAGCAGCCACCAGCAAGGAGCACAGCTAGAAGGGCCTCAGGGAGCATGTGCAGTGTTCCTTGTGATATTTAAACGAAGGGAGCAGGCAACCAAGGAAGATTAGTTCTGTTTCTTGGAAGGTCACTGATTGTGGACTGGAGAAGGAGGAGAGTCATCAGAATGACTGCCAGACTCCTCCTTTCTATATATGAGTCTATATGGTAAAAGAATAGCCAGAAGGGAGGGCCCTGTGACCCAGTTTTATAGTTACAGACCACAGATGTGTGTTGATTTTTTTGAACCACTGGATTTCTAAACGGGAAAAGCTGACTTGACTCAAACCATTGAGCTATCAAGGTCAGTCTTGTCCATTTGGCAGCAGCTTTCCAGAATCTCAGGCAGAAGTCTTTCATATTACTTAAAACCTGATCATTTTAATTGGAGATGTTGAGAAGTGAACCTGGGATCTTATGCATGCAAAGCAGATGTTCTTCCATGGAGCCGCTGGCTCTCTGAAAAGGGGGCAAGATATTAAGATATTTCTTAAGACTTTTTATTTCAACAAACACAGTGCTTCTTGTATTTCCTTTGCTGTTGTATTAGTTTTCTGTTGACCTTTTATGGTATGTTTTCAATTCACATCACTGTGTTCTTTCCCCCCCCAGCTGATCTTAAGAAAAGCCCAACTCCAAACACCATAAAGTCAAATCTACCCAAACCATGTCCATCTGGACTTCGCCCACCTGGTTATTCACGGTTGCCAGCTGCTAAACTAGCAGCATTTGGTTTTGTCAGAAGCTCGAGCGTCTCCTCAATCTCAAGCAACCAATCAAATGACAGTGTCCAAAGCGACCAAAGCAGGACAGCCAACCGTAAGTCAGATGATGTGGTTTCTGCTCATGCTATGAATGGGGTTCATTGCAGAGGGTGGGGGGGGGATGAAAGGCATTTTAGTGTCCTTTCAATCCCTTGTTTCTGTGGGAACAGAACCCTCATTGCCTAACTTTTGAATTTTATGAAATGATGGATGAATAATTACAGGTGACAAATTGTACAGGCAGGGTATTACTCTCCAGGTTGCCTCAAAAATGCATTGCCCACAGTTCTGCATTCTAGGCTGATTGTTGTTGTTTTTTAACCTCTTTGATGAATTATCCATTTTACAAGCTGAGGTAAGTAAATAAGCACAAGCAGATATCCTGCATCAGCACTCAGCAGCCATAAACTTTAGGTAGTTTGGGGGGGAATGTGGAAATAAGTGCTCTTTTCTTTCTTGTTTGCTCTTGTTCTGTACATCTCTGCAGTGTAGCGAAAGAAGCTCAGTTCAAGAAGTTAATCAAATCATGCAAGGGATTTAAAATAGGATCAGGATTGTTGTTATCTCTTTCCCCATGGTCTCCTTTTCAGCTGTAGAGAAGAACCCTTGGCTGAAATGTCATATCAAATCCTATTTTTCTGTAGCTAATGTTAATTGTATTAAGTACAAAATAGCCCCACGACCCTGACTGTGCTCGTTGTGAAACCTATCTGTGCCACATGCTCAAAGCCCAGACAGGGATTGGGGGATTTTTGATGCCAGTTCCTCTTTGAAGAACAGCTTTTGCCTGAGCTGTGTCAATTTCAAAGCAACTGTTATCACTCTTTAAGTGGCTCAAATGGAAGATGCCAGCTTGCATAAAATGCCAGAGGCTTTTGGAAGCAAGAGAGTCCTAAATCTTTTAGTGTTTGTGCTAATTTTAAATGAATGATAATAAATAAAAGAAAAATAGGCCAAAATAAAGTCTAACGATGGTAGGCTGGGTAATTAAATCAAAGGATGTGAATTCTGAGTTTAGCATTTATACTGAAATAAAATATAAGTGAATGTCTTTAGGGCTTTATGATAGCATTCGGTTGCAATAATGCTATGTATAGAGAGACATTAAGATTATGTATGAGCACATGTAATCAATGAGTGTGGAGTGGAACAGGACTGCTGCATCCACTCCATCCTATACGTGCTGATTGGATTGTCCATATAGATCCTGTATCTGTGTACGCATTTTGCGTGTGCATTGTCTGTCTGTGTAATTCATATTCTGGAAAAATGTCATGATTATACGGTGATGGTAAACTTTGTGTTGGCTTCTCAGGGCATATATTTGTATTTTTAAAACTACTGCATTTAGTTCAAGCATGATTTTGTGATTATATTGTAACTTTATTTTTATGGGGTGGTTGTTTCTAAAGTTTTTATTGATTTTTTTTGTATTGTGTACAGTTGTATTTTAACTCAAAAGCTGATAGATCTTGTCTCACTAACCTGTTAGGGAAGATCTTGTCTCACTAACCACTATGTACTGCCTTGCCAGTTTTCTCATGAATGCTGGTCTTTATCTGTAGATTCCTAGTGTGATTTGTAAAAACCATTTATACACTACTAGAAGTTTGTTCTCTTACCAAACTATTCTTTTGAACCAGAATAAAAAATTGTCTTTGTAGGGAAGATACTAGTTCCAGTTTTATTCAGTGTTGAGATACCAATGATCACCTGCTTGCAAGAAACCATTAATCTTTTGCACCTCATTCTGAGCTATAATACTAAAATTATCAATTAATTTTAATTTGGGATTTATACTAAGGAATTAATTCTGAATTGTAGAACATAAAGGTAGGAGTTAAAACTACGTAAAGGATTTATGCTATATTTGTAAGCTACCTTGAGCTTCTCAAGGAAGAAAGGCAGCTAATAAATGTTTTAAATAAACTAATAAGGGGTACATAATAAATATAAAAGCTGGGCATTTCAGTGAGCTTTGGGCTTTTGTTGCTTGAACTATACCCCCTCATGCAGAATTATAAGCTTCATTTTAAAACTAAACAAGGATTCAAGAGCAAGTTTAAATTCAGTGCAAAACGTAAAAAATCCCACTGGGCATGCTGAAGCCCTTAGGATACCTACAGTTAGTGATGGGCAGGATCACCCATTTCAACTTTGCTGACCTTTGGCAGAGGGTACGAATAACTTATTCCAGTGCATCAAAATGGGATCACACAATCTGGAACATCTCCAAAATTCACTCCACAACAACTATCCCCTGTCAAATATGGATGTATGAGTGTGTATGGTTTGCATAGCCCCCTGTACATGAGACAATTTCACATACAGGCAGGCCATAATAATCCTATAAATCCACAACATCATAAAATTGCTCCAAGGAGATGCAAATGCTAGAAGCCCCTGAGCGAAGAGGATAGATATCCAGAACTTTATATTAAATGAGTAGATATAGCAGGCATTTTGGAAAGCTGGTGGGACAGGGGTGGAATCGCTCAGTACATTGGAGGGGTCATTCATTTGAATGGAGAGTCTATTCATCTGGACAACTTAAGAACAATAGTTGCTCCACAGAATCACTGTGGATCCAAATATTGGGACATACTGTCATCCACACTCTGATCAAAACTCTTGTGTGTGTGTAAGTGCCATCAAATTGCAGCCAATTTACAGCAACCCTGTAGGGTTTTCAAGGCAAGAGATTAACAGAGGTAGTTGGCCATTGCCTCCCCTTGCATAATGACCCGAGTTTTCCTTGTTGGTCTCCCATCCAAATACTAACCAGGGCCAACCCTGCTTAGCTTCTGAGATCTAAGATCAGGTTAGCCTGGACCATTCAGGTCAGGGCATCAAAACTCTTAGTATGACCTTAAATGGAGAAAGAAATAAGGAAGGCAACAAGAGGAGAAAGTTGTATAATAATGGGAGATTTTAACTATACTTACATTGATTTGTTTAATACGTTCCAGTCATAAAGTTTGTGTATACTATAAATGATTATGCTTTGGAGCAGCTGTAACTATCCCCTGTCAAATATGGATGTATGAGTGTGTATGGTTTGCATAGCCCCCTGTACATGTGACAGTTTCACATACAGGCAGGGCATAATAATCCTATAAATCCACATCATCATAAAATTGCTCCAAGGAGACGCAAATGCTAGAAGCCCCTGAGCGAAGATGATAGAAATCCAGAACTTTATATTAAATGAGTAGATATAGCAGGCATTTTGGAAAGCTGGTGGGACAGGGAATGATGCACACAGGGTGGAATGGCTCAGTACATTGGATGGGTCATTCATTTGAATGGAGAGTCTATTTATCTGGACAACTTAAGAGCAATAGTTGCTGCACAGAATCACTGTGGATCCAAATATTGGGACATACTGTCATCCACACTCTGATCAAAACTCTTGTGTGTGTGTAAGTGCCATCAAATTGCAGCCAATTTACAGCAACCCTGTAGGGTTTTCAAGGCAAGAGATTAACAGAGGTAGTTGGCCATTGCCTCCCCTTGCATAATGACCCGGGTTTTCCTTGTTGGTCTCCCATCCAAATACTAACCAGGGCCAACCCTGCTTAGCTTCTGAGATCTAAGATCAGGTTAGCCTGGACCATTCAGGTCAGGACATCAAAACTCTTAATATGACCTTAAATGGAGAAAGAAATAAGGAAGGCAGCCAGAGGAGAAACTTGTATAATAATGGGAGACTTTAACTATACTTACATTGATTTGTTTAATACGTTCCAGTCATAAAGTTTGTGTATACTATAAATGATTATGCTTTGGAACAGCTGAACATGAAGCCAACTGGAGTGGAGGTGAACCTGGATCTGGTATGAGATGTAAGAGTTGTTGTATTAGTTGGAAACAATAATCACAGAGCTATTAATGTTAGAGTTTATATGAATGGAAGATTGCCCCCAAAGTCCAACAACATCACTACATTTCTCAAACTTCTCAAACTGAGGGAATTAATCAAAAGGAAGCTGAAAGGGAAACTAAAGGTCGTCCCTCCATGATGCTTCAGATGATTTAAATGGGAGCCCAGATAGCATGTCAACCACAGTGGTCTAAAATGATGTCAGCAGGGTAAACCGATGGTCACAGACCAAGAAAGAAGTCCTGGGGTCATAATGGATTGTTTGGTGACAATGTCAACTTGGTTTTCAGCAGCAGTGAAAAAGGCAAATTGTACTCTTGAGATTAGGAAAAGATATCATCAGGGCTCTAGTCGGGGGGGAGCTCTCAGGTATGGAGCTCCGGAAGAGAACCTCTAGGGGGCGGGGCGGTCACGTGGTGAAGCCCCGCCCCCTTCTTCACCCCGCCCTCTGCTTCGATCCTCATTCCGTTCGGGAATGAGGACGAAGCAGGAGGGTAAGTAGCCGGGCCTTCTGACACACGTCCGGTGATGTCAGGGGGTGTGGCCTTCTGTCACTTCCGGTGATGTCAGGGGGCATGGCATATGCAAATAAGTTATGCTAATGAGTTATGCTAATGAGCTCCGGCAGCTCTTTTTCTACAACAAGACCCCTGGATATCATCATTTATTTGCCTAGCTCTGTGATGTGGTGGCATTTGGAATACTATGCACAGTACCTGTTGCTGCAGCTGAATAATAATAAAATAGTGCTAGAAAAGATGCAAAAAAGGTTGACCAAAATAACTCAAGGGGTTGGAATAGGGATGGTGTCAACAGTCCCTGAGGTGGGGCAACTGCTGAGACCAGATCTTCTGTAGGGCTCTGCTGTCACCTCTTCCCACCCATTAACCTCCCTTGCTGCCCATCCACTTGTTGTGAACCCTCCTACCATCTACACTCCCATCTGCATCCACTGCCCAGTGCTGCAAGGGGAAGAGTATTCAGGAAGTGAATGACAGTGACATTACCAGCAGCAGAGCTGCCAGTTGCACACTGCACAATACAGTTGGGAAGGGTGTATGAGCACTTGGAGGGAGAGGGGCCTCCTGGGCACTCTCTGTCCAAGGCCCACCAAAACCTGGAACCAGCTCTGGTGGAACACTTTCCCTTGGAGGAAGTGCAAAGGAGGTTGAGGTGTTTTAGTATATAGAGAAGACAATGGGGGGGGGGATAATAACATTACATAGCATGTGGAAAAATGGATAGACTCTTTTCCCGACTCCCATAAACTTCCAGGTACCCAATGAAATTAAAAGGCAGTCTATTCTAGAGCTTTTCAGATAACAATGCTTGTTTCCTCTAAAGCATGGAGTTTTGTGCCAGTCTAAGAGCCTTTTGCACCAGCAGAACATTCCTTTTATTGGAGGAACATATCACTATTAGCAAAAAAGTTATGTAGGATCCAGTCCTATTATTGTGAATATGGTAGGATGCTCGAAGGGGATAAGGGATAATTTAAGTAAGTTATTCTTTAGGAAAAGTGTTTATTGTAAGCAGTTAGAAACTTCTGCCTTTAAAAATTATTTTTCTTATTCAACACATAGATTTCTGACAATAACGATTCCTAGACACTAAAACATACGTATACACCTGGGTTTAGAAACAACACCAAGAGAATCTCTGATTCTCCAGTCATTTATTTGAAGCCACACCTGGAAATAGGAGGAAGTCCCATCTAGTGTGGACAGAACTGGGCCATCTGCTAGGCAGCCTTAAGCAATTGCCTAGGGCACCAACCAGCCCTTTCCCCCTCATCCTCCCATCCCACTTACAGAATCCTGGTCTACCACTGTGAGAGACAGCCTGGGAGGCAACTCCCCACAGTCCCAGTGGGCTTCTGCGGGAGCCTGCTCTTTCCTCCCTCCCTCCCTCCCTGCATCAGGGCAGGCTGGCCTTCTTCCTCCTTATCTTGCTGTCTCACTAGAGGACGGGGAGGGTGGGGCAGCAGATTTCTGCTCTGCCCTGGTGTGTGAGGGGGTGAGGAGGGTGGCACTGCTGCACCACCTTGGCTCACTACCTTCCCATCTCAGCTCACCTCACTGCCTTGTTACCAGGTGAACAGTGGTGCGAGGCAGGTGGGTGCTCCCTCCATGGAGGGAGGGGCAAGGAGGGTGGGTGCTGCTCCACCACCATGTTGCCTCCCCATCTCGTCTCACCGCTGGGCAGAAAGCATCCTGCTGCCATGAGGGGGTGTGAGGGACTGGATAGCAGTGTCTAACCACACCTCAGGGTGGTGGTGGGGGAGGCAGTCACCTAATGTGCCGGAAGGGTATGGGCCAGCCCAGAGTGAGAGTGGAAGTCTGGCTTCAGGTCTGGGCCATCCCGGCATTGTACCTCCTCAAGTCACAGATCCCTGTCAACTTAGTTGCATGAGCTGGTGAGCATTTATTCTTACATACAACACAACATGTTTAAATCAGGGTTTACCAAGTATTCGTATTAAGGAATCCATTCCTCACACAATACTACTACATGCAAGAGTTTTACTTCTTCCAAACCAAATTTATGGCAGGGCCAGAAATAGAAGCCAGCAGCTTTTGTGTCCCCAGAGGCTGAGCTGTTACTTCACCTCACCACTAAACTGATTTTCTGAACATCAGTATGTCAAAGAATTGTGGAAAACAATTTTAGCACATCAAAAATACTTTTCTGGAATACCTGTTAACCATATAGCTTTGATTTCTTTGTGCATTTGGAATTTTAATCAGTGTGTATCTTGTATATTTATATATTAAACCAATATAATGACTGAGAATATATGTACATTAGATTAACTGAAACCAAACTGGCATGATTTTTTGAAAACTGATTTCCACCTGGCAAAGTTGATGGACTTAAAAAAACAAACCCGAGTTACGTAGTGGCAAAATAACATAATGTTACTGAAAATAAAGGTGTGAATTGCTTATTTGTTGTTCTTGAATAACAAAGAAGATGGTGTCTCTCATTTTGCCTGCTGCTGTTCATGCTTTTTAGAGGAGAAACAATGATCCATCAATACATCAGGATATCAAAAATATCTAATATTCATTACTGTTTAATTTTTTTATTCTTCATTCCTCATTTCAAGGCCTGCAAAATGTAAGAAAATAACCCAAACTAATCAGGTATATAAGGAAACTGAAAATGTCAGCAGTGTGTACTCCTTATCTCTTCCAGGAAATAGAATTTATTCTATTTATCAATGTGTTGTTGTTGACTGTGTGGTTAATAAATCAAATCATTCACTTCACTCTGGCTTTGGCAGATGAGCACACACAGGCCACACAGTAGCAGGCTTTTGCACAGTATATTTGTACCTGCTCCATGTTCAACCTCCTAGTTCCTCAGCTCAATCCTACAGCCAGGATTATATGCACACAGTCCTATAATTTGACTGCTAGGAAAAGAAGCAGGGGACTAAATGCTGCCCCCCCTGCCCGACTTCCCCTTCTCCACCAAACTCCCTTCCCCCATCAAACCATACTTCTTACAGTTTCTGTAGATTAAGATTCTCATTTTATGGAATCCCTCTATACACTTATCTTGCATAAGGCAAGGTGCAGCCTTCCTTATCATGTGGAGAGTGCCTACACTAACTTAAGGGCAATTTGTCATCTGCGAATGGGAATGCCTGTCTGGGTGTATCCCTGGCTGAAGATTTATCAACACATACTGGAACAATAAGTGATTCCCCATGAAAGATCCATATTTACTGCATGGGGAGGGCGGGGTAAAAATGTCTAAATAAATAAATAAAAATGTCAAAATAAAGATTATAAAATATTTTAACCTAAAAGGGTAACTAAAATTATGAAGTGGTTGGCTCACTTTGTGAAGAAAGGCTAAACATTTGGTATTTATTTTCAGCTTAGAAAAAGATCTCTAGGAGGAATATTTAATTAAGGTGTTAAACATTACAAATAGAACAGAGATGAGCATTCTGTCCCTCTTCTTTAAAAATACTAGGATTTAGGATCACCACAGCAAACTTAATGACAGTAGGTTCAGGAATAATAAAATGAAATATTTAACAGCCTTTTCAGGTGGGGGTAGTAGATATGAGTGGGCGGGGGGGAGGGATAAGATTGGCAAGCTCCATCTTGACATACTTCTGTACACTAGAATCACTATAGAGTCTATGTTTATACAAATCGTACACTATGAGATCCAGTTTGGTGCGATGGTTAGAGTGTTGAATTAGTACTGGGGAGATCCAGGTTAAAAAAATCACACTCACAAAAGTTTACCTGGGTTATTTGAGAGTGGTTTTGTGGTGGTCTTTCTCCTTGCTTTGCTTCCAAGCTGAAGGTAATTCAAAAGCATTTCCTTCAGCCTATTATGCACTGGTGTTTTGCCTCGCTTTCACGGTGCATGTCTGTCGGGGTTCCCCCTCCCGTTCCTCATTGTCTTTTCTCCCTTCAGCGCTCAGCTCGCTTTTCTTTCACTATTTACCTGGGTTATTTGAGAGTGGTTTTGTGGCGGTCTTTCTCCTTGCTTTGCTTCCAAGCTGAAGGTAATTCAAAAGCATACACGTTCCCTCGGATTTTTCCACCCCACTCTTTTCTGGCCCCTCAGAGGCCTCTCCTCTGCCCACATTGAGGTCATTCCTCCCATTCCTTATTGGTCAGGTTCACACTGGGTGTGTTTTTTGAAATATGAGAATCTGTGTTTACTCTCAGGTTAGTGGTTCCCCCCTCCCTTCATCAGTGTACAAGCTCCACTATAGCTCACCCATTTAAATTTTTTTAATACAAGTGGGATGAGTCTAGCAAAATCAGTTTTTCACTAGTTTTGAATCTCTGGGGTAAAAATTACTGATAGGAGCCTCTTCGCAAGCTCTGAAAGGATGGAGATGTCAGCAAGCTGCCATGGTGTTCTGTGTTACTTGTGTGACTGTACAGTTTCTCCCTCCCCCTTCTGCTTGCTAGCCTG